ACATGAAAAGCAGTTTCTGCGGAGGCCGGGCTTAATTATGAAATTCAATTAGAAAGCTTCAAGAATCCTTCCCTGCTCTCCCTCTGGCAGGATTAACTAGTGCTATCACAAAAGGGATGGTTTGATTAAGAAGGAGCTGATGAGAGAGGCGGGGGTGGGGCGGGGCCAGCCCAATCTGCATTTTACTTTCCATCATCTTAAGTCAAAGTTAAGTGTATGCATATATTAAAAAAATAAAAATAAAAAAATCTGTACAACCCAGACTCCCTTCAAAATATCCTAGGAAGTAGGGGAAGACTTCCAAATATCCCCAAAGGATTCTCTCTCTCTAAAAAAAAAAAAAAATTAATCACAAGGGACACATATCAACTGATTCCTGAGCTTTATGTCCCAAGCTACATTCATCTTCCTCTTTTAAAATTAAAGAGACATACGTATCAAATATTAAGAACGAAATGCAGTGAGTTCCCAGGGTCAGTAAGGGAGGAAATTCTTTCTAAGGGATTTCTTCTTTGCTCAGTGAAATTGACTGAAGCTGCAACTCGGGGTGGGGGGGGTAGTGTCTCTTTGATCTCTGTGGGATTTCTGCCTGAGTAGGAATGCACAGGATCCCGCTATGATCCAGTGCACACTTGCCTGGGATCCGGGTGAGCCTTACTTCTGAGTAAGCATCAGTTTTGCCTCCCAGGAAGCTTCAGGAAGAGCCGGGAGTCCTATAGGAGAGTTGAAGGGTTCTTGACAATGACCTCTTTCCTTTCGTCTCCCTCTCCTCCCATCCCTCTTATTTGCAGATTATTGGGGGTGTGTGTAAGAGGAATCTTCCTTAAAGGAATAATTTCCAGAGGGCAGGAGTCCTTAGTCTGTCGCAGCACAGCCAAGGAAGAATCTTGTGGCACCTGAAAGACTTAACCAATTATTCAGTGGCATAAGATTTCCCGATCTAGAGTTCGCAGACTTTTCAGATGAGTTTTTTTTTTGGGGGGGGGGGGACGGACGACGACGTAAGGAAGGAAACCGAGCCACAAACTGCTGCTTAAATATTGAAGGATGAAAATTATCTATATCTGTGCATTAGAGGCTGGGGTGGGGGGGAGTGGCAAGATGCTCTGGGGTACCATTCTTCCCTGAGAAGAGGAGCTGGGAAGCGTTTGGAGAGGGTGGGTAAGGATGTGTATCACGGACCACCCCTCCTTAACTTAATCGGAGTGCGGTGGCATTTTTGAAAAAGCACCCCCCTCCCCACCATGAAAGTGCAGTTATCTCAGAAGGTCTGTAAGCCTATAGGAAACATCCCCTCCACAGCTGGGATTGCTAGTGAACAAACAACACAATCCTATGCATCTACTCAAGAGCACGTCACATGAGACTCTTAATCTTAGGGTTGTGGGTTCGAGTCCTGCATTGCAGGGGGTTGACCCTCAGGGTCCCTGCCACCACACTGCAGGTCTATGATTCTATAACTCCCATTTGTGTGTGTGTGTGTGTGTGTGTGTGTGTGTGTGTAGATAGCTAGATATTAGACTTCTACAAAACACTGAAATGGATATGGACAACACACTATTCCAAACTCTGGGAAAAGTGGACTGCTCCTTTCCTCATCACATATGCACACCTGGATAAGTTAAGGGTACCTTGCAGGTTTCCTAGCATACAAAGGGTTATCTTAGCAAGTGAAGGGCAAACGAAAAGAACCATATTAAAAATAAAATAAAATAAGTGTAACTGAATTAACTTTTTGGTCTCGAAGCACTCGGCTCTTTATTGAACCACTCCATGTCCCTGATTATTTATATTATCTGATCAGCTGAATACCTGAAGAATGACGGAATCGAGTTACAAGAAAGGAGATTCAGACTTAGCACCGGGAAGAACTTTCTGACACCCTTCAACAGTGCGCCAGACTCCCAACAAGAGGTGAGCCCTCCTTTACTCGGAGGTTTCATAGATGATATAGTTGGCATCCCTGCATTGTAGGGGGTTGGGCTGGATGACCCAACTCTACAATCCTAGCATTAAGTTTTGGGAAGGGGGTCGAAAGATTCTGAGCCATCTTCCGACGCAGAACTGAGCCACGGTTGGTGCTGATATTTTGGGGGCTTTTGAGTAGACAGTCCAATTTCATTTCTATAAGCATAATCTGCGGAGGGGCGTCTTCTTGCCCTAAAACACTGCGTAATGTGGGAGCGCATGATTCTTCCCTCCACCCCCATCAGGACCCCGAAGAGAGACCCCCAGCCCTCTTCCCTACCTGTCCGTTCTTGCACAGGTCCGCCCACATGCTGGTGCCGTCGCCTCCGCGCATCAGGACGTGGTAGGTGAAGAAATAGGTGCCGGGGATGTTGCACGTGAACTTGCCCGTGGTGGCCTCGTAGTTGTTGCCCAGGTTGGTCACCACGTCGTCGAATTTAAGGATCTCGTAGCCCTCGTGCGGGTTCTTGAGGCCTGCGTAAAAAGCCACGCGGGGCACCGTGGTGTAGGTGGCCGTGCTGATGGCCCCGTTGCCCAGGCCCGGCCCGGGCAAGCCAGGGGGGCCCGGTTTCCCGGGGTCCCCTTTCTCCCCCGGGGGCCCCATGGCCCCCGGTGGGCCCGGTTCACCCGGAGGCCCCGGCGGCCCGGGTTTTCCCGGCCTCCCGGGCTTGCCTTGCGGCCCTTGCACCAGCGTGGAGGGCGCGGGGAGCCCGGCGTGGCCGCTGCTGGCGAGGGTCTCTCCCGCCTCGGTCCGGATGGCGCTGGCGCTGGTGGTCTTGGCCAGGTAGGGGTCGCAGACCATGCGGCACGTGCCCAGCATCTCGTAGTGCCCGTCGATGCCCACCGAATTGACCAGCACCGGGATGAGGACCACCAAGATCAGGATCATCACCACCCCGATGGCCGCGGCCACCAAAGTTTTGCGCCCGAGGCTCAGCCGCTGCAGGGGCTGGACGCGCTGCCTCCCCGGGGTAGAAATGGTGACGGGTGGGCCGGGCGACCTGGCGAGGAGAAATAATGGGTGATAATTTGGGGGAACCGAAACAAAACAACCACAGACGAGGTGGAAGGAGGGGCGAGGAAGCAGCAGCAGAAGAAGAAGCAAGAAGAAGAAACTTGAAAAGCAGAGGATCCCCCTTTAGGTGGAGAGGAGAAAAGAGGAGCGCGCGAGCGCGCGTAAAAAACCGAGGCAGTCCTTGTTCCCGGTCTTCTTAAATATCACCCTTAAGACGGGATGCTCTGGGGTGGCCTTTTTATGCTCCACATGGAAAAGGGTTTTTCTTCTTTTCGGGGGAAGAGGAGAAAGAGAGAGAGAAAGAAAGAAAAACCCCGAGAGGGAAGAAAACAGCAGAACAGAAAGGAGAGGAAAAAAAGAGAGAGATGTCTTTTTTCCCCAGCTCCTCTCTCTCTCTGCTCAGTACATCTTAGTAAGATGCTATCATTGATTTGTCTCTCTCTCTCTCTCTTCTCTCCCCGCTTCCCTCCCCTCCTCACTCCATCCTCCTCCACCCCCTTGGAGGGGGGAGGAGAGAAAGGGAACGCGAGATGATAGGGCTGAAAGGGAGACGCAAGAGGCATTTGGGGGAAGAGTTTGCGCCCCACCCCAAATCCTCCCCACCTTTAAGGCCGAGGAAGGGACGCTGGAGCGGGGAAAGTTAGGACAGGAGTCCCTGGGCAGGAGGTCGCCTCCCTTGTTATTGTTATATTTGATTCTGCTGGTTGCTATGTTCAGCACCCACTTGAAGTCGAGGGGAGTGTATCTCCAGGGGCTAGAGGGACTTTGGTGATGTTGCTTCCTCAGCAGCTGTTGCCTGGAGAGAGACGCACCAAAATAAGGAGGGAGAGCCCAAAGTATTGACGCGAGTGGGATATCTTGCGAGCCTTTCCAGTGTTTGGGCATTTTTATAAGACCCGAAAGGTTGGGATGGGGGTGTTGGTTGATGGGAAGAGCCTTTCCCGATCCCAAATTTCAGGGAAGGTCACCTTCGTCAAGGAAGGAGTAGTTAGGCTGGGTTCTTGCGGAAAGGCTGCGGCTGGATCAAAGGGAGGGTAACCTTCACAAGCCCACAGACGATATTCCGAAGGTTTGCTTATCAGAGCGCCTCAAAATGTTTGTGTATGAATACGTGTGGATTCACGATACACACACATCATTGCCCCGAGGAAAAAAGTTAAACCCTACTGCATACACACAATACCTTTAAAGCACACTTAAATCACATACTTGCCCAAAAATCCTGGAATCTGTCGTTTACCTCTCAGAGCTACAGTTCCCAGCACCCTTAACAAACTAGAGTTCCCACAGCAGAATGTACTTTGAATATATGGTGCGTACACAGCCTCACATGCACACATTTTTCAAAGGATTTTTTTAAAAATTTTTACCGTGCTCAAGGCAGCCTGGACACCCCATTTCACTTTCCCTTGACACCTTCACCCTAATCACACAGTTTGTTGCAGCCCAGGAGAAGGCATTTTGCACATGCTTAGGTGCCCTTGGGCAGGGACGCAGGTGGCACTGTGGGTTAAACCACAGAGCCTAGGACTTGCCGATCAGAAGATGGCGGTTCAAATCCCCGCGACAGGGAGAGCTCCCGTTGCTTGGTCCCTGCTCCTGCCAACCTAGCAGTTCGAAAGCACCTCAAAGTGCAAGTAGATAAAAAGGTACCGCTCTGGCGGGAAGGTAAACGGCGTTTCCGTGCGCTGCTCTGGTTTGCCAGAAGCGGCTTAGTCATGCTGGCCACATGACCCGGAAGCTGTACGCCGGCTCCCTCGGCCAATAAAGCAAGATGACCCCAGAGTCGGTCACGACTGGACCTAATGATTAGGGGTCCCTTTACCTTTACCTTTATGTGCCCTTGATGTTATTTGAAAATTCACAGGGCTGAGCCTTTCTGCCCAAATATATTTTGGGAAATACGGCATGACCTTCCCCACCCCCACCCCCCAAAAGGAAAGGCATGGACAAGATGTGGATAATCCACACTTTTGAGGTCTTTTCATAGGCAGAGGCTCTGGAGCAGGCACAGGCAAACTCCGGGCCTCCAGGTGTTTGGGACTACAATTCCCATCATCCCTAGCTAACAGGACCAGGGGTCAGGGATGATGGGATTTGTAGCCCCAAACATCTGGAGGGCCAGAGTTGGGTTATGCCTGCAGTCTGGAGCAAGGATGGAGAGGCTGTGGTCATCCAGATGGGGTTGGACTCCAATTCCCATCAGCCTTTGCTAGAGGGGCCAAAGGATGATGGAAGTCAAAGTCCAGCAACGTCTTGAGGGCCACAGTTTCCCTAAAGTGCAGGGAGCTCAGTTCCACAGAATAAAAGAACATCTGCTGAGACTTTAACACAAGAAATAATTGTTGTTGGGTGTTTACCTCTGTCACCTTTGTTTTCCAGGTTGGAACATCCATGGTTATTGTATTGTATGAACCCACAGATAGGGAAAGGCAGATAATACTCATTTTTTCAAGGTGCTGAGGCATAATATCTTCTTACTTTCCAAGGCACTGATTAGTTATTTGAGTAGGTTCAGGGCAACCTATGGAAGTCCATGCCACTGGGTGCTTGGGTAGCTGTTTGCTTAGAAGTCTTCTTCTTCTTCTTCTTTTTAAAGGAGCTGACAAGATTATGAAGGATAAGATAGTCCATGACTGTTCTTAGCCTCAACAGCTAAAAAGAGAACCTCTGTGTTCAGAAACGGATCTGTGATGGTCAGGGAATTTGGACAGTCAAGAGATAACATCCTGCTTCTGAGTTTTCCAGGGACGCCTGCCTTTGTTGAAGACAGTGTGCTGCAGCAGCTGGAACTTTTGCCTGATCAAGCAAGACCATTCTTAAATATATGTGGGAGACAGGGAACAGCTATGAAAAGGTTACTTTTTCCCTTACAGAAGGCTTCTATATTTTAATAGTGAGATAAATATATTCTTGGATTGCAGGGGGTTGGACTAGATGACCCACAAGGTCCCTTCCAACTCTACAATTCTATGATATACCAACTATCTTAGACCCTGTGATCAGCAGATGAAGCCTTGTTGGTGCTGCCACCGCTGGGAGCTGCCCCAGGACAGGGGCTTTTCGGTAGTGGCTCCCTGATTGCGAAATGCCCTCCCTAGTGGGGCGTGCCTGTCTCCATCCTTATTTACTTTCATGAGGGATCTGATAACCATTCTTGTTTACCCAAGCATTTGGTGGCTGAAGAATACCGCTCCTCGCAACCTCCAGATCGTAAGTATATTTTCAATTATCATTGGTTTTAGAATGCTTTAATCTGTTTTAGAATGTCTTTTGCTTTCAGACTGGATATCTGTTTGGCACCCTAGACTCCATGGGGAGGAAGAGCAGGATAGAAAGTCAATAAAATACAGTGGTACCTCTGGTTACGTACTTAATTCGCTCCAGAGGTCCGTTCTTAACCTGAAACTGTTCTTAACCTGAAGCACCACTTTAGTTAATGGGGCCACCGCATGATTTCTGTTCTCATCTTGAAGCAAAGTTCTTAACCCGAGGTATTATTTCTGGGTTAGCGAAGTCTGGAACCTGAAGCGTATGTAACCTGAAGCACATATAACCCGAGGTACCACTGTACACAAAAATAGTTCACTAAGGCGCCTTTTCAAAAAGAACAGTGCGTGGCTAGAATTCGGTAGGTAGCCGTGTCAGTCTGACGCTGTAAAAAAATATTAAAACACTGTCCCAGTAGCACCTTAGAGACCAACTAAGTTTGTTCTGGGTATAAGCTTGTTTTAGGGGTTTGGAGGAGGCAGGCAGAGATGCAGTTTGATCACACCTACACCTAGGAAAAAAATATCTGTGCCCTGGGCTGCCCTTCCTGAGGGAAAGAGAGAGAGAGAGAGACTTCAGCATATTTCTGCCATCCCAAGAAAAACGATCCTGTTATGTCTACTACCGCAACAGCCAAGCTATCATCTCTCATCTCTTGCTTTCTTTTGTTTATTTCCTGAGACTTGGTCTGTCAGCTCACAACTACTCTTCACCCCTCCAAGGCTTCTCCCCACTCCTTCTCTTGTTTCCTTTGCCGGCTGCAGGAGAGCAGTTTGAATTACTCGAAGAGATGGCTTGGAAGGGAGAGGAAGGGAGCGAGGCTGGGTCTGGCAATGCAGGGGTTAAATCTCTCTTTCTCTGTGCACACAGATAGAGAGATCCTTACAATGGTCTCTTCTTCTTCTTCTTCTTCTTCTTCTTCTTCTTCTTCTTCTTCTTCTTCTTCCCCCTCCTCATAAACCCTCCCCCATTTTTATTTTCATTTTGGGTCATGATGCTCCAATTTTTGGGATGGTTATTTCCCTCCCCCCTAACTTTCAGAAAGTGTCTAGATCTGCAGAATCCGGCGCACATCTCTCAATCAATTTGTCAGAAATGTTGCTGCAATCAAAGTGGTCCCGTGAGAGCATTTTTTATTCTTTGCAGGACATTTGCTCAGAAGCAGGTCCCACCAATTTTAATGGGACCTCTTCTCAAATAAGGCTGCCATCGCAATCCACTCCTCCTCTACCTGCCTTAGCGCAAGAGGGCTATTTTGGAAGACGGATGCCTCTCCAATGGCAAGTCCAGCCCAGCCCCACTAGCTGCAGATCCTTCCCTTTGCCCCGTGGGATGGAGAAATAAAGGCCTGAAACAATTTTTCCTAACCTGGGCCACTTCCACATAGCAGTTGATTGGGGATCCTGTTCTGCTGAGGTAGGAATTTATTTTTTTGCTGCATTCATACAGCTTCAAGATATTAGCACATACATTGGTACCTCGGCTTAAGTACTTAATTCGTTCCGGAGGTCCGTTCTTAACCTGAAACTGTTCTTAACCTGAAGCACCACTTTAGCTAATGGGGCCTCCTGCTGCCGCCGGGCCGCCGGAGCACAGTTTCTGTTCTCATCCTGAGGTAAAGTTCTTAACCCGAGGTACTATTTCTGGGTTAGCGGAGTCTGTAACCTGAAGCGCATGTAACCTGAAGCGTCTGTAACCTGAGGTACCACTGTATTTCCAAATCACTCCAGATTCACTATTTCCATGCTTGCTTATTGGATTTTCCAAGGAAACGGTGAATCCAGAATAAATGGGAAGATAAAATGAGGCGGAAATTTTGACGTAGACGGTGTCATCGTCGTGTGGATGCTTTGCAAAACATGCAGCGCTGCACCCGAAGCGGCTCTGGTAGGGTTGGGCGAAATCGTCCATTTCGGTGTCTCGTCTTCCCATATTAAATTCAGTTCCCCACATTTCCACACCAGTCTGCAATTTTTTTTTATGTCTTTGTGAAAATGTACCTGCATTTCATTGCAAATTTTCCTAATAGTGATTTTTTTGACCAGTACAGACTTTGTTTTTTACTAATGCAGACATATTATTATTGTTGTAGTAGTAATAATAATAATAATAAATAATACCGTATTTTTTGCTCTATAAGACTCACTTTTTCACTCCTAAAAAGTAAGGGGAAATGTGTGTGCATCTTGTGGAGTGAATGCAGGCTGCGCAGCTATCCCAGAAGCCAGAACAGCAAAAGGGATTCCTGCTTTCGCTGTGCAGCGATCCCTCTTGCTGTTCTGGCTTCTGAGATTCAGAATGTTTTTTTTCTTGTTTTCCTCCTCCAAAAACTAGGTGTGTCTTGTGGCCTGGTGCGTCTTATAGAGCGAAAAATACAGTAACTAATTTCCCAGCCTGCTGTAGTGCTTAGACTAAGACCCTGGAGACCAGAGTTCAAATCTCCACTCAGCCATGAAGCTCACTTGGGGCAGTCACCACCTCTTAGCCTGACCTACCTCACAGGGCTGGCTGGGTGAAATCGAGAAGGGGGAGAACCACGATCTCCTTGCAGGAGAGGTGGTATAGAAATGTTGTAATGATATTAATAATAAATGTATATATTTCTGTGGGATGTGATACATAAGTAGCAGTCAAGTACAACTGCTATGTACTGAGTTGAAGAGGATCCAAAAGGCAGCAGTCTGATTGGTCCTAGAACAACAGGGTCCAAAATGCAGTAGTCTGATTGGTCTTAGAACAATGCAGCAGTATGATTGGTCCGCAGGAGCCACCCAATCTAGCTCCAGGTGGAAGTGAATCCACAACCTGATTGGCCTACAGGAGAATCCTGGAATTAGCCAATCACGTGCAGCCCATTGTGTAAATAATGTATATAAATCAGATATTGTGGGGGAACTTCCATTCCTCCTCACCACTATGAGCTGAATAAAGAGCATGAAATCAACTCTCGACTCCCTGTATATTTCAACAACATTCCTTGTTTTCCTAGAGTGGACATGTGGAGGAATGTTTGGTCCAGCCAGTCGAAAACCTCCTGTTTCCTCCTGGCTGGGACATACTTCCTTTGCATGTGATCAGAGGTGAGCGTGACCTTACCTGTCCAGATAACAAAAGGACAAGGCACGCAACACTCTCTATCTTTTGACTTCTTCTGTTGCTTTTAGCTAGAGATGCTTTGTTGGGTTCCAGCCAACAGAGGACACTGGGATTATCCCCATATGGGTTAGTTCCACATGTATATACTTTGTAACTAAGTCTACCTTCAGGGATCCATTTGTGAACTGAATGTGAGTAAACTACTTTTATATACTTGACACAAGATGGTGGCGTGTTTATTCTTTTAAGAGGGATATAAGGGAACTTACCAGGAACCTAACAGTGAGAGGCTTACGCAGGAGCAGGGACCGAGCAACGGGAGCTCACCCCATTGCGGGGATTCGAACCGCCGACCTTCTGATCAGCAAGCCCTAGGCTCAGTGGTTTAGACCACAGTGCCACCCCCAAACAAGGATAGGAAACAAAACAAAATGTAAAGATGCAAAGTTTAATTTTGTAAACCACCAGACGGGAGGGAGGGAAGCCGTTAGGCTCAGTTGAGCCAAAGAGATAAAATAAGAGGATATGGTATTACGTAATGTGATTATATGTAAAACCAATAAAAATCATTTTGAAAAGAAAAGAAAAGAAAGACCACCAGCACTTTGAAAGGACTCGGAAACCAAACTGGAAGCTAATGCGTTTGTTTCAAAACATAGCAGCCAACTCCTAGGGGTTAAGGTCGCTTTGCGCCCCCCAATAAAATATTTGAGGGGGCTGCCTCCCCCCCAAGTTGATGGGCATTGCCATTCAAATGGTTTGC